TGGTAGTTACTGAAAATGGTGCCAGTAAAATGAATGGATTGCAGAACAGGAGTTATAGGAGCTTATTAGTTTTGTTTCCTGTCCACTTTTCTGTGGTTTCCAATGGACACACCATATTGTCTGCCCAGGACTCTTAGCTATGAATTCAGGTGAAGGTGGAACTGGATGAGTACATGGATTAACAAGGAAAGCACCACAGAGCCATCATGTATAACTGATGCAGACACATGATTTCAAAAGAGTTGAGCTGTTCCGCCTGCTGTAGACAAATGAAAAGGATGTGACATTTTGTGGCGTCATGGCTAGAGGGACTGACTGTCAGCTAACACATTTTGTGAGCATTAGCACCTAGTATTGACAAGATTATGTGTCAGTTAAAAATGCATGAATCAAAATGTGCTAACTGGGAAGTCTTGAAAAAACAAAATGAAAACACAAACCCTCTTTAGTGTATGTCCCAGTTTTCATAGAACAGAATATTCCATTTCATGCTAAAGGAAAATTATTCTGTGTTGATGACTTACTATTGATGAATATTTTAAAAACAGAAATATCAAAACCTCTCTATAAAACCATCTTTTTCTATCAGAATAGATAGTGCCAAAATAATGTCATTTTGTGTGTATAGACTGCATTTAGACTGCGTAAGCTGGTCATATGCTATCTCTTCTCTCCTTCTTCCACAGCCTACGCATGTAATGAGCAATACAAAGATATGTAATTTCATTTAGACCTTTATTTACTATTGAAGATGTGATCAATTCTGTAACAAGCAAAATGAATTGCAGGTGCAGAATTTCATCAGGAAAAAGTTACTCAGAAATCAGTTTTACTAGGATATGACAAAGGTATTAATTACAGTTGCTTGGATACTAATAATACAGTAATTTATAAACAAAAATTCAATTCAAAAAGTTTAGCACAAATAACTTGGAAGAAGCTTCATGCAGTTTATAGGAATCCCTCATCTCTTAGGGCAAGTCCAGCCAATTCATGAACAAGATGTTACTGATCCTATATGGATGTGTATTTTTCTTTTACTGTTTGGTGGTTTTTTTGGTTTTTTTTTTCTTTTTTTTAATTCTGGCAATGTGTAGAGTATCCTCCCCTGTGATTTGCACAATACTTATTATTAAAGACTATCTACCTGCAACAGTTGGTATAATACTTCAAAGTCCCAAAGGCAGGAATTTGTTCCTGTTTGTATAGAGCATCATTACAAACAAGCTGGGGTTTATAGATCAAGGTATTCAACCACTGGCTGGTGACTTCTCTTGTCTGTTATCAGCTGCCCTCCCTCCTAGAAGTCCGTTGTCATCAAAGGATCAGTCATATGTTGCTTTGACAGTCTGTTTGTGGTCATTTTCCAAGGTCTTTATGGTTCCTCCTCATCCTTTCCTATCACATGGTAAAAGAAGAGCTGTGAGGTTCCCAGGAAAAGTGGCAACCAGTAGTGAGGCTGCCCCTGCTGGAACGATTCATCTTGCTCCCTGTCCAGATACTCATGAATTACTCCAGTGGTTGCAACTTCCTGCCAGCTTCTTCCTTCCCAAGAGCTCTTCAGGCAGGACACGTATGCATGTGTCTGTGTGTGTTGCAGTTGATCTATGGATGTGTAGTAGATCCAACACTTTGGGAAAGAGTGTGTGGGCAGGTAGATGTGCAGTACTTTCATGGTAAATATGGGCATGATCCAGAGGTCTGATCACAGCGTGTGCTTTTCTTCCAGCCTCTTGGTATAGGTAGATCATCCACCCAGCCAGAAGGCCATGGCACTCCTGATGTAGGGCTTCCTTTTTACTTTCATTAAAACAGAAAACGTGCCAAAACAAATAAGAGATCCTCAAGTAAGGGAACATTAAAGCTTTCAGCATTAATTAAGCACTCAGAAGATGGGATAATACAATTAATTAATCATACATATGCAACTCTGCTCCCCATTGCATGGAAAAATTGTTTTCCTTTAACTTAAATTATTATATACTAATTGCTTAATAATCATAGTATTTTTTTTTCCTTCTGTGTTTACATAATTGCTTTTAGCAACAGGTGATAGAAACTAAATAGGAGTTTTGCATAGAACCTTCTACTGAGCATATTAGATACAGTGGACAGAATGAAAAACAAATCTTGTGAAAAGTTACACAAGCTGACCTTAATGGATGGTGACAATGTCACTGTGCTTTTAGACTGGTCACAGTGTGGCTATGTAAACAGATTTATTATTGTCTGAGCCTGCTCAATATTTTCTTTGTGTTGAAGAATAGGAAACAATTTGCCATATAAAATGGTTTAGTAAAGGTTTAATAGGGCTGCATGCATAAAACCAACCTTTCAGCTCATACATAGCCTTTATTCGAAATTTTTGATATTGTTTAGAATAGAATAGAATAGAATAGAATAGAATAGAATAGACTATTTCAGTTCGAAGGGACCTACAGTGATCATCTAGACCCACTGCCTGACCAGCTCAGGTCTGACCAAAAGTTAAAGCATGTTCTTAAAGGCATTGTCCAAATGCCTCTTAAACACTGACAGGTTTGGGGCATCGACCACTTCTCTAGGAAGCCTGTCTCAGTGTTTGACCACCCTCTCAGTGTAGATCCCCTCTGGTGAGGAACTTACCTGAAATATCAAAAAATAAAAATCTTGATAAATCCTGCATATCCTGGGAGACCTTCCCATTGAATCAACAAAGGCACATGGTATTTCTGATGCTTTAGCAAGACCCATACAGACCAGTCTCTGGGGCTGTAGAGAGCCCTGCTCACGAGAAGATAATAATGCAAATTCTGCCCCCAGACAAATTTTTTTAAAGCATTTTAATTTTGAGCTGTTGTCATTAAGATTTGTGAGTCAGGAACATTGACATTTATACTTGTTTGTGCTGGAGAGCTGTTGAACTCAGGAACGTAACATCCAGTGAACCATCACATGAAGTAATGGTTTATCTGTGTCACTAAATTTTTGACTAAAGCACAGCAGCATGTTAAAAAACTTTTGGTTTATCTCTGTCATCCTGAATAAATTGTATAAAAGATGAATGCTTGTATTCATCACTGCTCTGCTGCTTTTCAGTATTAAGATATTTTATATTGCATCATAGCCAATCATGATAGTAGCCATTATGTGAGCACGTGGACTCCAACTTTTTTGAGTCGTCCTGATGCTGCAAAGAATAATACACGCACATCATAGCTTTATGTTGCTTACATAATCTACTGGTTATGAATAGCGCTATTTTCCGTACGATAAAGAAGGGTGAAGAAGCAGGAGTACAGTACTACATTAAGGTAAATAAGCACTTTGTGTTTCTAGATAGTATCTCACAGTACAGTCATCTTCTCAAAAATTATTCCAACAGTTACCTGGACCTGATGTTTTTTAACATACTGACTGATATTTTGCTGAGAGAACAGCCTGTTGGATCTTATCTTATTTCATTTGGTGTTATTTGGAAGAGGACATGCTGTCTTGGTGTGGTAACTGAAAGTAAAAGGTGGCTATTTTGCGGCCATTGAAGGAAAGAATGGTGGCATTACTGCTCTCTGCAGCCTCTTGGCATCAGTAGTTTTTCCTTCAGCTTAAACACCTTTGATCATGGGCTTGGCATGGAGTGGAGCATTTATATAGGAACCAGCAGAGCTCTGTGAATAAAAGTACCTCAGCAGGGCATGTTTCTTCTTCAGCAATTGACTTTTTGGGCCATGTGCCTGTGGTCACACCTGTAATGTGTTTCCTTTGCGGATACTGAGGGTGCTCTGCCCAAGCGGCAGCTGGAGAAGTTGCTGTTTGGGTCATCTTGTCTGATCGTGTGATTGTGTGACATGGCTCTAACTTATTTGTAAATGAGACCAAACGCCAGATGCATCAGATAAATTAATTATTTCTAATAAGTTGTGTTGCATTTATTGCACAGTGAGAAAACAGGGGAGTTGATTTTTTTTTTTTTTTTTTAAATATCAGAACCTTGTCACAGAAAGCTTCAAATGACTTAGATTTATATTTTTGTTAGTAAGGCACTGAGTAACCTATTCAGTGCTATCTCATTCATTAAGTGAGTTTTTCAGGAAAAGACATCGTGTCAGGTGCAGCAGACAAAGCTATGAGCAACATTGGTTCTGTTAATGACTCAGAGAATGACTGCAGGGATTGTAAAATGATACATTATCTATCAGGCATTGATCATAATTATATCACTGATAAAGACAAAACATATCAAATGTTGTGTTTTAAATATGCCCTTCAATGAAAAAAAAACCACCATTGAAGTAATTTTGGTGATAGCTGTGTGATCCTTCTGAATGCAAAAGGGAAATGTTTTGCATATCCTCGGGATGAAACGAATTATCATTCTAAGCTATTCACTCATTAATTTTTATTTAATACTCATGGTATATCAGACATTATATATCTTTCACCATTTTGCTTTATGACACTGCAGAACTCTGATAACTGTACTCTGTGTAAAATGTAATTCTCTGGTTTACCTGCCTGCTTGGATTGAACTGCGGAATCTTAATTTGCTGTTGTGGCTTCCATGATCCTTTGCTTGTGTCATATTGTTGTTACAATGAACACATTGTGCATTCAGCATAGCTTTCATCTTCTTAAGGGAGAGTACAGACCCTTTCGTCCTTGCAAAATTAATAATTAAAATAGGATTTTAATATTTGTGCTTGCTTTTGGGTTTATTAGCTTTAACTGTGAAAACTAAATCAATTATTTTGTATGCCCCATATGACTAGCTGTTGAAAAAAAGAATGAGAGTTTTCCATATATCTGTTCTGTGGCTTTAAGCTGTCTCAGAATAGCACTGTTGTAGAAATGGACTCTGATGACCAAATAGGTGGCATTTTTATCATTACCAGCTTGAGGTTTGCGTAAGGACCACAAGTGTGATGCAAAACTAGGGAAGCTGATAGTGTAATGTAATTCTTGTATTGTACCTGTCTCACCCGAATTTGGTTTGGGTTTTTTTTGTTTGTTTGTTTCTGCAGAGTCCAGAGGAAGGAGCCTCTACAAGCATCTATGCAGCAGTATCACCCGAGATGGAAGGAGCTGGCGGCTGCTACCTTTACAATGAGGAAAGGACAAAATCAGCTGACGTAGCATATGATGAGGAGCTGCAGAGAAGGCTCTGGACAGAAAGCTGCAAGATGGTTGGGATTTCTGATGAATCCAGCAGAGTTCCCTAGAAGAAGCCACTTCCAGATGGGTAAAAGAAATGCATTGACAAGCTTCTTAGGTGAATTCTTGCAGCATCTGTCATCATCCTGGAAATCACTGTTCAGTCCCAAAGGCAAACAAGAACAGCTCTGTTCTTCACTTGAACACCTAGTCTGCTAGGATGTGGGGGGAATATTCCCACAGAAAGATGTAGTGGTTGGTTTTAAATCTAACCATCAGTTTTGTAAATCATGATGTTTCACTCTGTGATTAAAATACAATCTTTAACCTTGTGCAGAGTTGAGTTTTCATTTTTTGTTCAACAAAAAAAAAAAGGCTTTCCCCGGTGAGCATGTTGTGTGTGTGGCATGTTGAACTTAAGCCACCTTTGTACATATAACTTACTCTTTTTTAATTAGTTTTAAAAGTTACATCTTTTTTTCCTTAAGCTTCATTAATCTTCAAGACACTTTGTGATGAATGTCAGCTTGTTCTAATGCAGACATTTGTCATTCATGATAATTATGTTGTTTCTATCATAACGTTAGTTTTATATGTCAACTTTTATCCAGAGGTATTAACTGAAGGTCAGAACCAAAAAAATGTAAATAAATAAGGTCTTCAGACAGGATATTGAATTTGGTTGCTTGCAGTTCAAGTTCAGCTTTCCTTTAAAGGTGAGCCATAAGAACAAGGAAGGGATCAAATGTAATAATGGCGACATTGTTTTTGCCAGAGGATGCAGTCAGCCTGTTATCTGGAAGTCAGCTAAGATCACTTGTCCCCTTTTCTTCCAAACCTCTGTAAACTTGCATCTGCAACTCCTCGCATTTTCTTTGGCAAGGAGATTCACCCATCTACTGCCTGTTGCATGAAGAATCACCTCCTCCCATTGGTTTTGAACCTAGTTCATATTGGTTTCAACACTATAGTTCATGGTTTGGAAGAGACAGCAAACAATTAATGCCAGTCCACTTTTTTCCACATTGCTAAGGGTTTTTTGAGACTTCCAACATGTCTCCCTTAAACTGTCTCTTTGCCTGGTCAAAGAGTAGACCCTGCCTACTCATCTGATTTACACAGCAGCAACAGGATATTTTCCCTTTTGTTATGTATTTCTTTCCTGAAAGTTCCTAACAGCTGTTTTATTTTTAATTTTATTTGACTGTTTCTGAGTGTGGAGCTGATATGTTTTATGAAACTATTTTTGGTAAACCCTAAGATTTCTCTTCTGAATGGGATAGTGGTCAGGTCAGATGCCATCAGTTTTGAACACGCTTCAGTGTGTTCAGAGAATTCTACCTATGTCTGCCAAAGTGAAGCTTCAAGAATGATGTTCACATACATGGAGTAAAGAACAAAACAGATGTGGCAGTATAAGCATAGTGTGAGTTTCTACAAGCTCAAGTAACTAAAGGAAAAAAGTGGGCTAAAGACATAACATTTTAACAGAGAAGGTGATAAACCATGAGAATAATTTACAGATAAACTCTGGAAGTTTCGGTCAAGATTAGAAGTCTCCCCAAAACATCTAGAAGGGTCTGGGGAAACCTTATAGCAGCCTCCCAGTACTTAAAGGGGGCCTACAGGAGAGATGGGGAGGCACTCTTCATCAGGAGTGTAGAGATGGGATGAGGGGTAGTGATTTTAAAATGAAAGAAAGTAGATTTAGATTAGATATTAGGAAGAAATTCTTTACTGTGAGTGTTGTGAGGCACTGGAACAGGTTGCCCGGGGAAGCTGTGGCTGCCCAATCCCTGGAGGTGTTCAAGGCCATGTTGGATGAGGCTTTGAGCAACCTGGTCTAGTGGAGGGTGTCCCTGCCCATGGCAGGGGGGTTGGAACTAGATGATCTTTAAGGTCCTTTCCAACCCAAACCATTCTATGATTCTATATTCTCTCCTGAGTGAGAGAAACTTTCTGAGCATGGACTCTGTGACTAGGAATCCTGAACTCTTGCTGTTAATGGAGTAAGTTCTACTCTTCTCCCACCTCTTTTATTTTAGGTGTCATCTGAAGAAGTAGCATAATCTTATAAATGTCCTTGCATTTCCTTTTTTAAGATATAAACAGCAAAAAAGACCAATAGGTGGACCTAAAGCTTATATTCACTTTTGGACACTGGAAACCACTGCATGATAGAACTAAGTGCAAGCACAGGGTGCTCTCATTTGCAGCAGACTGGAAACAATATGAACGTGTTCCTATGCACTGAACCCCTGAATAGTATCCCTTTTGGGCTTTTTAGCTCAAACCTGGTACTTCACTGGCCATATCTCCAGCCTTTGATTCAGAGGCAGATCACATCTAACTGAAAGAAAGTATACTGGTATGTCCAGACACTAGCAAGGAGATGCAAAGACAAAAAGAAGCATGAACAAAGAAAAGCAGATGAGAAACAAAAATAACAAAAAATCTGAAGGAGAGCATATTTCCCCTCTGAATTTAGCCATGCATGATTTATTCCTAGCTTCTTAGAGCTAGTATATACAGAAGATAGCAGCAGGAAATTTATCACTCAGTCACTATAGCACTTTCTCTGTATGACTGGCTGACTTTTTTTTTTTGGTAAGTGAATGTAGTGCTTGTGAAATGTGCCAGACTGACACTCTGGGAACTAAATTCCTGTGTTTATTCACGGATCATGCACAGGATGCAGTAAGCCTGCTAGACAGCCAACATTTTGATGTTGCCATAGCATTCCCACGGAACATCATTGCTGCTAGAAGTATGTGGAGGATTACTCAAACTAGATGAGACCAAATTACGTTCAGTTTTAACTCTCTCGAAGCTCCACAATATTTGCACAACCAGTTTCAAGGGGCATAGGGATTGGTGGAATAGCAAACAGTAAAGAGCTAGTCACACTTTCAGTGTAATCTGAACCACTTTGTTAGCAGTCTCAGTCCAATTAAATCTGTTTTAAACAACACTGAAAACACAGGTTGTGAGAACCAAGAACACAGATTGTGCCTGCATGAGGAAAAAAAAAAAAAAGTGTCCTAAAGCCAGGGATTTCTAGAATGGTGCAATGCCATGAAGATATAGGGGAGCTAGTTGCAAAAGAGTTACCTGAGAAACTAAAAGCAGAAAACTCTGTCAGCTCTGCAATGCCACATAAGCACGTGAGCTTGTCTTAAGCAAAATCCAGTGTCATTGTAACATTCTGTGTGTCACTGGGAACATTCACTTGTGATGCTGTTGCAAAAATACAAAAGAATCCTTAGCATATCTATTTATGAAAAATACATATATGAAGCGTGTAGAAAGAGGACAATTATTTTACTTCTAGACACAGAAATGGTAAGAGCTGGTTTACTTTTCACATTTCAAGGACATGGATTTCTAAAGATCTGAGAAACACTGTGTTTCACTTCACCGAAGACATGGCTGAGAGATGGCTTGGGTCCTTGCAGTAGGTGCATATGTATAGGAAAAATGCCTGAGAACTTTTTAACCTTGCAAAGAAAGACAAAAGAAGCTCCGATAACTGTAAATTGAAGTTTGACAAATTAACCTCCCAACATGAAAACAGATCCTGTCTCTTTGACAGTAATTACATATTGGAACACGTAGATCCATCTGAAGGTAATGAAAAGGTGCTTCTGAAAAGATAGCTGGCAAGGAGGCCAGTTAGGCTCCTAAGCAAAGTAGGTCAGTCACAGTAAAGTCATACATAGATTCTCCCTCCTGTCCAAAGTGACAGCACTTATTTTGATTGGTATAAGAGTGACCCATTGCTCACAACTTCTAAACTGGATATTTCCATGCCACTACTCCACCCAGGCTAATGTTTCATTCAAAAAGCTAAGTGCTATTACCTAGTCTCAAAAAGGTACACAAAATCTACCGACCAGTTCAAGTCTGAGATCAACAGAAGCATCTGCTAAGGGCCAGCATGGTCTGATCCTATTGCCCTTGTTGACGGAGTGAAACCATTTCAAACCAATATTTCATTCTTTTTTGAAAGAGGGTTACTTTTTTTTTTTCAGGTCCTGTGGAAAAAAGAATCACCTTAAAAAAGGACAAAGATGAATACTGTTTTGAAGGATAGTTCAAATACATGTTATAGATCTTAGTGCAATGAATGCAGTTATCTAGGAATTTGATGTTATGTAACTGCAATCCACTGCGGCAACATTGACAACACTCTGAGCATTGTCAGGAATAAAACAGACCCGTGGGGCCAAGAGTGCTGTCTCCAGATGCATGTAGTTTTTGGCTTCAATACTGTACCCATCAACCCTTGTTAGCATCTCTCCCTTTGGAAATGAACCTGAGCCAATAATTCCTTTCACACAAGCAATCAAGAAGAGTCAAAAAGTAGCAGTGACTGTCATTTATTTAGAAAACACCAACTAGATTGAAACTAATCATCTTAAAGTGAAAGACTTCCTAATCCCATAAAATTTAAAAAAAGAAAAAAAAAAGAAAAAAAAAGAAAAAAAAAAGAGAAAAACTGGCCAAAACCCAAACTATGGCACTTTATGAGCAATATTAAACCTGGTCACCTCTTCACAGACAGAATGCAAGACACTTAAGATGGTAAGCAGGCTTATGCCCTTTCCAGAGAACACAGACCAACAAACATGGACTTCCCCTCTTATTTTTCATTGCTTGAACTCTCAAAATGAGCTCAAGTAACATCACTGTTAAAGTCTGAAAACAAGTAGATCCATTTCATCTATTATTTATCTTCCATTTTTTGAAACTAATAACAAGATTTCTTCCAGCTTGCCCACATTTATGGAATTAATTATTTAGTGCATATTGATCTGCATATATTCAAGATCTGTGATGTGTCTAATGCTTTTTAACAATACTGAAGGAAAAAAATACAATTTCCTTTTAAGAATTAAAGCATAGCTAAGGGCCAAATGCTGCATTCTTTTCCCAGGGAAAACTTCAAATGAAGAAAATGTTGGTTCTTTGCAAGAAAAGTAAGACTGAGCTCAAGAAAGTTAATATAAAATATTTGCACAGAACTTTTCCCTTAACTACATCTTACAGCTCTGCTGAAGTTAATGAGACATCCCAGAATCACTGTAGAAAGACACATAACTTAATAGCAGAAGAAGCTATAAAAACCTTGTATCATTTAAATTTGATAATGCCTCAGAACATTATCTCTGGAGTGAAAGCGCCTTCGTGCTTCTATTGATATATTAAAGCCCTCTCTTTGTCTCAAAGTGATTAATCTAAAAAAAAGTGCAATCTAAAAATTCCACCGATATGGTATATTGAGAAAAGAGAGTAACACACATCTCACTT